TCATGTATCTGAAGTTATTATAACAAAAAGTCGAAATTAAAAAAAAGTGCAATTTAAGTTGTAATCTTAAATAGGGGAATTTGTTGATCAAAATTTAGATTTGTAGTAATTTGACAGTTGACACTGTTCGGTGATTTGGTTTACGTTGTTGACAACTATTATGTTATTACTGTTTGTTAGTGGTTCTTGTTAATTAAAAAAACCGTTTAAACTTGACGTTATTCGCAACCTCACGCTGAATCATAACCACAAGATTCTCTCTGATCTGGAGCCATATATAAAAATGTTTCCACTGGTAAGCATTTCAGACTTCTTGGGCTTGTGTCATTCTGTCGTTTTAAAAACGCTGTTAATTCTTAAAATTTCGAACGATTTACATTATGTTTGATGCCAAGAGTACTTTTCAGAACTGAGTATATTGTCCACAGTGTGGCTGCTTTCATAATTTCCGACTTAATTTGGAAATAAACCAAGAGCGTCGTTTCAGAAAATTCGCATATTTTATTTTCTTCGCACCACTTGATGAATTTTTGATATTCGGCTTCATATGGATTTGCGGATTTTGCAGGCAACAAATTTGCAGTTGCTTTATCTGCAATTTTCTGAAGACGTGCACGAATTTCCATTTCAACTTTGAAATTCAAAATCTAGCCCGGACAAATTGACAGATTGGTATTTGACGTATTTGGTGATAAATTCAATATCAACATAATTTCGGTTCAGTAATATTTATTCTTTTAGCGATTGAAAAATTTTATTTTTTCAAAAAGGCAGCGCAAAAAATATTGTATGATACTCGTGTGAAAACTCCATTGCATTACTCACTTACATACAGCGCTCGACTGCGTCTCGCGCATAGATTTTAACCTTATACTCTACTAGATGCGCAACTGCGTCGCGTAAAGTGAAGCCTATGGCGGCCATTTGTCAAAGAGGCAAAATACTGTACAATCGTATTACGGTAATGGTGAAAGTAAGGGTAAAATATTATTTATTTGTTCTAAGAAAATCAGGTGCACATTTTATTGTTAGCTTGCCAATCCTGACATACAAGAAAAGTACATATAACTTAAAATATACTACAAATGTTACGTTATTGAGGAAAAATAATTAAAATAGTTTTCCAATTCTTACATAAATCAGAAGTCATTAAAATTAAAAAAAAATACCTAAGCAGTAAATACGTGCCAGGACGCACCAAATAATCACTTTCAGTGAAAGGGTCACTACACAATTTACTGGCTTTTGTTGGTGTAATTTTTTTTCTTTTCATTACTCTAACCCACTGTTCCAAGAGCTTGGGGTTAGGTAGTCGGGTATCTAGGTAACTTAATTTAACATCTATGGTCTCGCGCCGTATTCCCGTTCGTAATGCAATGGACCGTTTTCAACACTTGTAACATAAATAACTATTACACCTGGTATTACAAAAATTTGCACTGGAAATGCTTTGTTCGTTTACATTTGTCTCGGTTTAATTTTTTCCCTAAAACCCGTACGATTGGAGCCTAAACCGTAACTCCACCTATCTGGCAAGTGTTGAACCAGAACGGGTAACTAGCCATAAAAAGAATTAATTGGACTACTAAATTTTTATGGCGAAGATCGTAAACGGTGTTACTTTTTCTTTTCCTTGAAGAGAATAATCTTAAAGTAGACCTAAATAAATTACTTGCAGGGTCTTTAAATCATATTTATAATGATATGATCCTGCTTTTAATTTGTTATCCGAACAATTTAGTTCAGCTTTGACACGGAAGATAAACTGTTCCCAATTTAGTTAAGAGCTTTTATACACTCGCAGCAGCAGGAGCACATGCCCAGTTTCATCTGAAAACTCTTTAATGAAATTGCGAGTGTTTAACTATATTTAAAGGTTACATAAACTGCGGAAAAGTCAAATGAATAGACACGTCTGTAATAGGTTTAAAAAGTGTGTGTCACTTATTCTTTCAGCAACAAACTGACTATTTCAAAATCTGATTATACTTAACTGTACACATGAAGAAGAAATTCATAGAAATTTAATAATTATAATTATCTACACAACGGTCAACTTGTTGTTACAAAGTTACAACTTTAGGTGTAAGACGAGGTTTGCTCTCTTTTTTGAAGTATAGCTGACTTTTTGCCTCTATTGGTAATAAATTGTTTAACAATTTCATTTTATTGGGGCAAAAAAGATAATATTAACTATTTTCATATATGTTTTATTACATTTCTTGCGTAAGCAACTAAATAGCATCAAAGCGAAACACGTTCTTAGTAAGCCTCAAACAACACTAATTATAATTTTATTGTGTTTGCATTGTTTCAAGAAAAGTAAATGAATTATTGGTGACGTAATTCATAAAACAGTTACTAGATACATAGAATTTTGACATGATTGGTTTGATAATTTCGGAAATTATCCTTCTAATAATTTCCCAACAAACAGTCGGGATATTATGGACGGCAATTGGTACATGGACTCATGATTCATGAAAATGAAATATCATTGTATTTTGTGGTCCACGAAATATCCAGAAAACATGGAACCTCATTCAAATGATCTGATAGAACATTCGTCAAAATTATCCTATGACACTGTTTTCCTGACCTGACCTGATCTGCTGCTTGGGACGCAAAAATGTAATGTTATTTGCGGAGACTGTTGGTATTTAAGTTTCGTTGATCCGTTTATGCACCCGTTGTCCAGTTTTACCAAATTATGAAAATTTGATTAGGTCGGGCATAACGCCATTATGGAAGACCATTTTCTGCTACATTGCATATTCATCCGATAAACTGCCCAAATAAATTAACACTAACAAAAAGCGAAACGAATTAATGAATGGTAATAAAGGCCTGTTATAGTGTGTAGTAATAGCGGATTAGTTCCAAATTCAACCCCACACAGTTTGCTTTAAAATTAGCATTAATGGAGTTGTTTAAGTAAATGATCGTTCCGGCCGGAAAGGCGATTCTGTTAAGAGGTCATTACTGACACGGTCTTCCTTTTAGATAATACGTTTAAACTTAAAATTTAATTACGGTCCTTAAATTCACAGATTATCTTTAATGTTTATCGGTTCTGGTTCCGCTACTGCAGCGTCCATCGTTTTGTAGCTAAACCGCTGACTAAGGAACAATGTGCAAGATTCCAGAATATGATTTGGAGAATTCTGCAACAAATTTCCTTGCTATCTTCTCGTTGAGCTTTTGTCTAATTTTCTTGATTAACACTTTTGCGAAGTTATCTACCAGTTAGCTGGAGTCAAACGAGAAGATGATTAACTAAATAAAAAGAAAAATACCAATCTCATTAGTTTTACTTTTCGTCAGCTTTGGAAGCAATTTGTCTTAAGCAAATGATGAAACGTCTAGACTCTGGCAGTTCAGACAATTCACTTTTAAATTATCCAGAATTAGGAGAGAAAATTTAATGCTTATTTTCCATCCCGTGAAAAATTCAGATACAATTATCTAAGGCTTTTGTTTTTTAAGTCCTGTGATTTATTCAACCCACTTTTTAAAACGTAGTTATTCTTTCAGTAAATTACACTTTTAAAATGTTAAAATGTTAATTAAAATTGACGAAAAAATAGACAAGTGGCAGTAATGGTTGGTGATATGTAACCCTGTATGTGTTTATTTTTTGTACTGACTTAATAATTCAAACATAGCGTTGTTTAAAATGTTTTCTAGTCTGTTTGTTAAATTTTGACAACTGACTTGATTTTTGATTTTTTTTAAGAAAATGGTAGTGAAGCATGTGATAACACACATTTAAAACGAGCTAAATTAGTTAACAATGTTTCTAGATGATGATACCAACTTCTCGAGCTGAATAGATAGGTAAATGTTGGTTAGTATGTACCTAAAATGCGAAATAAATGGTACGATAGTTTGTCAGAGTGCAGATGCAAACAGGAAACTTGCATTTTCGTATTCTATGGGTTGTGAAATTACAAAAAACATTTCAATATATTCTTGAGTTAATATCAAAGAGTAAAAAACTGTTTTACCCTAAAATGTTATTATTATCAGAAATTGGTCAGTCTGTAAAATTTTGTTTTTGTGGCATTTATTATTTTATCCTTACCAGCAAATCCCATGGATTGAAAAATGACGAACATTATAAAATGCAGTAGTTCGCGTAAAACGAAAAATAGTTAAATGTGGGACGTTCTTAAATATAGAGAAAAAACCCAGGACTTGACATACTTCAAACAATGTCCAGTAAAATTAAATCGTGTTATATGTACATAACACAATAGAAAACATGTACAATTAAAATAAAAGAGTAACATTTTTAGGTTTTAGTTCAATTGGCAAGGCCAACTTCTATATCGATTTGCAATGAGTCAGGGTGCAGGCGACACCAGAAAAATCTGCTCTTATGAGAACAATGAAAAGCCCTTTTTACCATTATGTAAACACGATATCCACCCGAATCGCTTCAATTCCCGCAAAAACCCTCTATTTGTCCTATCCGCAGAATCGCAATGCAAACAGAAAAAGGACAAATATCAGGTCTTACAAACATTTCGGGTTGAAGCGAGAGAAAGTTAAAAACTGATCTTAGGAAACAAGCCGTAGATTCGTCGACAAAAAATCGACAAGTCGGTATTTTTTTATGATTCTCGGGGGTGTTTATGGGTATAGGTAGCTGTCAACTCTAGCTTAACCGCGTCATAAAATGTTTCCTCAGCTAAAAAGTCACGCTACGATATTCCTGCCACTCGAACACTACTAACCGATATTCCGGAGCTCCGGAAGTCGAGCTTTTACAAGTTGTACGTCGGCGCCACTCGTGGTCCTTTTTATACGTTCCGGCTGTTGTTCCAACTCATCTCTATTCACCCTTTGTTTATCCTCTTTATGTATTTTCGCAAAATTCAATATTTCGAGGCTGACAAGAAAATGTAGGTTTGCATGTTACCGGACTTTGGGAGCGATCTTAGAAACAGTCTAATAGGAATAACCGGACGTGTTCGATACTGAAATAATATACTCACAAAGTTTGGAGCTTGCTGAGGGGGCGGAGGGCTTCGATGGGGATGTCGACGAGACCGCAGCCTTGCAAAAGTCTGGAAAGAAACACAAACACGAATTATTTGAGGAAAAACAACGGCCCAAACATGCAACAGACGGGCTGAAAAAACAAAGATAGGCGTTTTGGCAGTTTTAAACTTATTTTCGCGAAACCCTCGAGGGACCTTATCAGCAGTTTTGCCATTACAAGTTTTAGGCAAGTTTGAATATTTTAAATTCAATGTGAATTCGCTAGATGCTAATGCAAAATTACTTATGTTTATTCATGCTTTGTGGATTGAACAATGCAATGTGAAAGTTACATAAGAAAATTCAGCTTAGTACATGCCAAAGTTTTGTCAAATCTATGCTAAAATGAATCACGAATTAATAAATGTCTTGCTCATTACAATATATCTAAAATTCTTTGTTCAAGAGTATTAGTTAAAAGACTGGAAAAGAGTAGGAAATAGAAAAATGGGTTAAAAGTTTTTACAGTAATCTAAAGCATTACCACTATCAAGCTGACATTGTGTCGTCGCAACAGTTGTTTGTATCACAAGACTAGAAACTAGGCTTTTGCAAATACAAGTGAATTCGCAACACGATTTTTACATAAATAAAATTGTTATTTATTATTATCCATATTGTTTTTGACGGTGTATATATTAATGGAAATGAAAGGGTATAAACAACCCTCCACAGCCTAAAATTAATACGACCGGCCCGACGAGCGAGAACAGTGTTGCATTGAGGATATGGGGGCCCACTGGAAAATTTAAGTGGGGCCCTATGTTATTGTACACAGATGTTGTTTGAGTTTATTGTTGCTATTATTATTTTCAGTTTTTTTGGTGCTTTGAAAAAATGATATCGTTTTTCGAATTTTGATAACGGCACCAAGAAAAACAAAGCTAGTAAAAAAATTGTGGAAGGTTATTTTGACAGAACTTTCCTCGGCCTTGAAGTGTAATCAGATACATTCCTCTTCTTTAAAAAAATGTAAAATTAGATTTTGAGGTTTTCGTTTTGTGATAACTGTTAACCTCTATAAAGTGGCATAATTAACATCTCCTGCGCCTTTAAATGTGAAATATATTTAAAACAGATAATTAACACAAAAAAATGTTGACAAACTATGTAAATTTCTCAGTACATGCTCAACTTCGACTGTTTATGTTTATATTTCGACCGAATTCGAGTATTAGCACGTTCAGATTACAAGCATCAGCGGTTAAAAGAAAATGAAATTTGGTTGATTTTGTGTCCTCATCGCAGAGGAAAGGACTAATTAATTAGTTCGTACTCAGTTTTTTTTCCTAAAAACACTAATAAACTTGAAGAAATTCGGCAAAGATGTAAGATACCGGATAAATTTCGATTAACGATTTACCATATTACAAATAATCTTATAATATTTGCATGATTCCACAGCATTTGGTATTTGCAATATCAAAGTTAAATTGTAAAATATTGTTATCCAATGTTGACTTTTTTCAAAAAATCTGGATGCTAGGGATAAAAAAAACCTTTGTTCCGCGGAATTTTAAGATGACGTCACAATTGTTTTTCCTTTTCCTTTCCTATAACCTTAAAACGTTTGCAATATTTCAGTACACTCGCTTTTGCAATTTTAAAGTTAAATTGTAAAATACAATTTTCAATTTCTTCCCAAAAATCTCTATGTCAAGAGTAAAAACTCAACGCGAATTCTAAATTACATATACATGGATTGTGTTGTTGTATAAAATTTAAGAAACATTTGTTCTGCAAAATTATAAAATGACGTCATCCTTTTTTAGGGGGCCATAAAGGAAAACATTTTGATTAACAATTTACCATGCTTACGATAATCTTAAAAAGTTCACGTTTTCAGAGCATTGATTTTTTCCCAAAAAATCTGGATGTCTAGGGTCAAAACTCGACACGGATTCATGAATCACAAGGAATATGCAATCCTATAAAATTAAATATATATAAGATCAAAAATAAGGGGGAAATTAGTAGTAAGTAAAATGGTACGTTTCATCTCACATTTTGTTTTTTAATTTATTATAAGGTACTTCTTCATTTTTTTTTATTTTTTTGTAAAATTCTCAAAGTCAGCGGTTTCTATATGGACCCGCTGAAATCTGGCCGAAATCTTTAGAAATACACAACATTTTTAAAAATAATCTTAAAAATGGGGTGAAATGCATCAAAAAAACTATACGACAAAAATTCAGTTCTTTATGTACAAAAAAGAAATCGTACCAGTAGAAAGTTAGAAAGTAAGATTTACCGATTTCAATTTATAAATTTTCTCTAAAACGTCCTGTAATCCAATCAGAGCCCTTCATGAGAAATTTATAAAAAATTTGGTAAATATAAATTAAAGAACACTTATACATATATAGTTTTTTATGCGTCTATTATATTTTTAGAAATAGTTATTGTATTTGCAATTGCAACATCATGTATGTGAAAAATGTGTTGTATCAAAAAAAGAGAAGTAGACAATACACAAGTATAGACTCATTATATTTTGGATATTTTAGGTAGGATTTATTCGGCAAAATTTTGAGCTGACGTCATCAATTTTTTGGTGGGGATAAACAAATATATTTTGATTAAAAATGTATCATGCTTATCATAAATTTAAAATATCTGCAAGATTTCAAAGCATTCGATTTTGTAGATTCAAAATTAAAATGCAAAATGTTGTTTTATAATTTTGATTTTTTTTTTTCAAAAATCTGGACGTTTCGGGGAAAAATTCAACATGGCGTCATAAACTACATACGCAGGACTATGTTATTTTATACAATTTAAAACCCATTTACTGTGACATCATCACACTATTGGTGGGGATGATTAGACAAATTTTGGTTAGCGTTTTACCATCTACATGATATTCCAGACAGACGGAAACGGGAGATTTCTTTCTTTGTACTGTAGGGGTCATGAAAGGTCGAGAAAACGTAAAAGTAGAGAGTCGGTCGACGGACTCGATTACAATAATCATATAAGTAAAAAGTGGTATTATAAATCTTTAACACAATATTTTGAAATTATAATTTAATAATTTTCCATTATTTTTAATATTTTCGTAAAATGTAAAAAATATGTTTCTATATAAATGCGATTTCATCTTTTGCGAACAAGAATTTATTAATCAGTTTCTCCCCCAGATTGCGTGGATTCGATAATCTGTAGCACGTATTAAAAATTGGACTACCATAGTAAAGGGACCAATGTGTACAAAACATAATAAATTATTTCTGAAATTTGAAAAAAAAAAAAAACTTGAATGTAATTGAAGTATGACTCACTTATTGAGGGAATACAAAATATGTACGTCGAAATAAAATATAACGAGAAGAAAAGACAAAAAAATATAAACAAAATATATACAGAGTGACCCTGATTAAACTCCTTCGTGTTGTATCTCGAAACCGGACAGACATATTGAAATTTTGTAAATGTCATTGATTTTAGCTTGAAGGGTAAAGCTTAATTTAGTGCACTGTAGTATGGGGTCGGCACCAACGTATATCTTTTATTATTATATGTAATTTAAGAAAATGAAAACGTAAAAACATTCAATGAATGGAAATATAAAAAGTCCGCATGTTTTAATATCGGTCTTATAAAAAATTAGATTCAAGGATCAGATACAAATTATAACACCAAGTATAGGCATGTACTTTTGTACAAGTTGAGTGACATTTATCCACTAAATTATTGAAAAAAGCAGCCACTATCTGCAGTTTTCGCAACATCAAGTAGCATAAATATGTCGATGTTAGTACGTTGCACATCATGGAGACCAGGTGACACAACTTTAATAGGTTTCTCGTTCTTTTTAAGAAGTTCTTAACCTCATTTCCGACATCTTGATGAACAACACTTTAAAAACTTGAAGTAGTTAGAGTGAAGCACTTCGTGAAATAGAAAACTGCATTTTTAATGTGTTCTCTCCCATTTCTCTGCCGTAACGAAAAACAATCTTCGTCGTTAAATTTTTGTTTGTTTCGTTGTCTAGAAGAAAGCATTTCTTCAGTGGAAATATAGCAAAGCAGCCGATTCCGCCACTCCAGATTAATATTTATGAGAGTTGTGCAAGCTTTTTACTCCCTGGCACATTGGGCATGATTTAGTGTATATTCCCGAGCGGTTTTATTGTCAACATATTACAGGAGGATGATATTTATTGGTGGCGCGTCCTCAACGTGTTCAAGTTGTAATACATGTCGGGAGTGCGAAGGGCATACTCTGAGCACGGCTCCACGACGTACATTGTCCTGACACGACCTCTCTATGAATTTATGATTTTATATTTTGCCGCTTTATTTACAGTTTATTACGATTTCCGCGTTGCGAACGTGATCTACAGCGTAATCGGAAATTATTGCAGTATGATGAATCGAGTTTCGTACAGGAGGATCTTTAGCTTTGGCGCTTTTGTACCGAAAGAAACAGTGATCGTGGAAGCCGTACGGTGCTTATATACAGAAAAATAAGCCAAGGACAATAACAAAGCTGTAACTCCTATTTTACGGGGGTATTACATCGATGCTCTGAAAAGGAACACTGGCCGTTTGAACGAGCGCTCTATCCTTAGCAAGCAAATTGGATAAATAAATTGAAAAAAATACATTTCTGTTGGATGTTACGTTGCGATATTATGCTGGAGAACGTGACAAAACCGAGATGACAGAAATGGTCAAGAAAGTAAATAATGTGTTGGCACAATCTAGACTGCATTATTCAATATAATGAATAAACAACGGAATATTTGTAATATTTGTGTAGTCATGTGAACTTGTGTTGCACTAAAAAGTTTAGAATTTCGGTTATTTGTATTTAACAGTAACAGTAATTCTGGATATCAAGAAAATTACTGTCGTTATCATTGTTAACACACAGCAGCAACCCTAGACGTTTAGCCGCCCGTGCGCAAAAAATGGCCGCGTTTCACACAACGATAAAAACTTTTCCTTGCTTTTACAACGACAAAACTTCGTACTATGAGGGGCATGGAATTCTGGGCAGTCTGTTCTTGTCATTTCAAAAA